GGTTTTTGAATTTTGAGCAAAGCTACACGAGGGCTATCTGTGAGAGCTGTCCCTAATTTAGCAGTGTAAGACTAGAGGGAAGGCAGTTAGTCATCACCACCCACCGCCAACTCTTGAGCTACTCTTTTACAAATTAATAGTGGGAGTGATCATCACATTATAATGCCCCCACGGCTGAAAGGGCGAGCATGTTTGGTGTGACAGGGATGTAAAAGGGAATATTTTGGTTGAAAATTTTTGTTGCATTTTTTTGGATAAGGGTGACATCCAGTGGTCATTTAATGTACTTTCATACATTTAAAGTGTTTAATTGTACACTAAGTATTTTTTCCACTTAGTTTGTACAGGTAAAAATTTCTTGTTCATCTAAAATGTTCAAATTTTTCACACGCACACAAACGGCCACTTGTATAGATTTAACAATAGGTAGATAATGTAGATAATCTGATTATTTGGTGTGATATGTCTTGGTATCACCCAAAGCCTTTCTATGGAAAAGAATGTTATACAACTATGCTGATTTGTATGCTATATACTTTATATAGAGCATTTCACCATGTGGCAAGCTCCGAGACATCAAGAATATATAATTTTTACATTAATTGATGTTACTCTATTCTTTATACAGTCATTACACTCTCCCAGTCTTAGTCAGGTTTTCTGCAGAACTTCTCTAGCATTTCTAAAGTAAAGATTTCTCTTCTTTTAGAGAACGGAGCTGTCTCACTTGTAACTTTGATTACTTTTGTCATCTGTAAAGTATTTTTTTACACTGTTTTTGGTCTCTTTCTTTAAACTTAGTTAAATTCTGTGTAATATTATTCATAGTTATTATTCTTATATGTAGTATTAATCAGTGTATTTAAGAATACCACATTACAAGTTTTTCTTATTTGAAGAAACGAGCCAAAGCACTATATGTTTGTAAGCATTTCTCGTTTCATCCTGCTTTATTTATTTATTTTCATCATGTACTTGGTTTTTAGCAAAATGAAACCACTATATTTTAACTTCCAAAAGATCCAAAGATACATACACATATTGACATTTATTTATATAGAATTAATTAACTGGGTTTTAAGTTTCACGACACTACTGTTTTCATTTTTATAAAGAGACCCTATATTATTGAAAAACATTAACATGTTTGCAAATACCGTATTGAATTCAGCTTCTACAATGTATCCAGATAAAACATACTCTTATACTTATGACAATCAAAACACACATACATTTATATACTAACAAACAAGAAAACGTTAATGTGTAATTTTCAGTCATAACTAGGTTGCTTTTTTATCGTAACAGAATCGCAGCTCTTTTCTAGATTAAAATTTGTTACCTACAAAATGAGAAAATCAATATGAACTAACCTTCTCTTTTGGCTGATCAGGACAAAGAACGTGGTAGAAAGGTGTCAGATCTTCTTCACTCAGTAGGTAATTTCCCAAAAGGGCAGCAAACACACAGAAACGGTTAGGATGAAGATTCAAAGTTTTGGCTACTTCATCAAGTATGAATTCTTTTGTTTCAAGTGAGCCCTTACATAAACATAATAACATCACATTCAACCAATATTGTACTCCAACAGAATAATACTCTTCATAACCCTTATGAAATTCTATATTTAAATAACTGTAACTATTATAAACAATAAAACATTTCCTATGCAATGATACTAATTACATTAAGTTCTGAATAAAGCAATTTACCAACACAACTCAGAACTAAAGCTTTATTGAATAACTAATATAGATAATTTAATATACTATTCCACATAGGTGTATACAAAAGCATAAATAAAATATTGTAGGGATTAGGAAGCTACCAATTTGAAATAATATGAAACCTACAAGAAAATAATTTTTTTTTGTCAATATTGTTTACTTTCTGTTGATCTCTTATCTTGAAAAATAAATCTCAGGTAAAGAAATCAAAATACTTTGTGTTACACTTTATCCTAGGCTTCAATTTTAGTTTTAGCACACCTGCCAACTTCCGCCAAATTTGTTAGGAAATTCCTGCATTGAAGAGTAAAGGATAGGTCATTGTCTCAACCATCTTAAATTTGTCATGATTTTCCTAAATTATTGGAATATATTGCTTTCGCTAACCATACTCAGTAAACTAAATTAAGCTTACAAGTATGAATGGAAAAGGCAAAATAAATTTAAGTAAAATACAAAAAACAAAAAAGAGAATCATTTTAAAAATAGACAATAATCAGGTAGCAGAGTAAATCATCAAGTAAAATTAGAGGAGGGACAGCAGGAATAAAAACATATAATACTGCTTGGAAATATGGATTCAAGGATTGGAAAAAGAACAAGGAAAAGAATATGATGTGGAAGAAAACAATGGTATGAGACAGATATCTATAACATGAATGGAGAAAATCCAAGATCAAAAATTGAGTAAAGAATGGAAATGGCTTGTGAAATTTTGTGGATCTCAAGGATAAGGAGTTAAGTTGTGTAAGTACTTTATATATATTTTAAGTTCATATTATATCTAGTTAAATTATTGTAATTATAAAAATCAAAATTTCTGAAAAGCTTAAAGTCTAAAAGAATAAATTTGATTAGAATTCTATCCAATCATTTTAAGCCTTTTTTAAAGCTCAGCTTTATAAGTAATTGCTCAGACTACAGTCATCATAAAAGTGGCAACAAAGATTAAAGTAATAAAACCACCAACACAAAAAGAAAATCACTTGAAAACCAAGATGTAAAACATTATTTTTAAAGGATCATAAATTCTTAACAAACATAAACCTATAACATGGAATGGGCAAAAATTTCTACAGTTGTTAATAGTAACTATTTGTCTTTTTTGTTTAACTTTATTGGTGTCACTACTGTTATATGTGTTAATCTGTCTAGTTTTTACATTACTAACATTTCACCTAGCACTCATACAAAACTTGACTGCTGTAATGATGTCCAGTTGTGGTGACTTTAAAGTATTATGTTACTTAGAAAACCTTTGAATTGAGTGTCATAACATTTCCATTAATGTGGAAATATAATAGCATACTAAGACCACAGTTGGCCCATAGACAAATGCAGCTCCCCTTTCTCCACAATTTCTTTTTTTGCATTGAAATTCTACCCATCAAAACAACCTTTTGACAAGTATAATGCTTTTAAAATACTACAGTTGTCATAGCCAAAACAACTACTGATTTTGCCCTTCTGCAACTAGTGTACAATATATCTTTATTTAGGTATCCTCACATATTTTATAAATGTCCATGCAATTTCTACAAAACATTAATCACATCCACAGTCAATGAAACCAATGGAAATTAAGAAGCTGGCAAGTTAGTGAAACACTGATATTACTGTAATAGATTTTTTGCATGTATTCACTTTCATTTCTTTTGTTTTGTCATTCACGTTAGATTTACTCTTAATACTTAAACCATCATTCTCACAGAAACTTTTAATAAACTTCAGAGTACCTGAATACCACACAGTTTTCAAATTAAACAGTTATCTGAGAACACTCTCAAAAAAAAAAGAAAAAAAAGAAGCATTTCCACTGTGGTCCCCTTGACACCATGGGAACACAGGCAAATGCTTACACTGCCTTTTGGTTAATCCAGTCCTTTTACTACAGCAGAAGTGCAGTGTACAGTTAGTTGACTGGACAGCTGAAACAACATATCCTGATCTGAAAAGAACTTACTGAAACAATTTTTGTAAAATTACAGTATATAAGATGACTCCTGGTAACCAGCACTACATTGGAAGATGACTCTGGATGACCAGTGCTACATTGTAAAATGACTCTTGGCAACCAGCGCTACATTGTAAAATGACTCTGGATGACCAGTGCTACATTGTAAAATGACTTGACAACTTGCACTACATTGTAAAATTACACTTGGCAACCAGCACTACATTGTAAAATGACTCTTGGCAACCAGAACTTCATTGTAAAATTACTCTTGGCAACCAGCACTATGTTGTAAAATTACTCTTGGCAAACAGCACTACATTGTAAAATGATTCTTGACAACTAGCACTACATTGTAAAATTACTTTGACAACCAGAACTACATTGTAAAATTACTCTTGGCAACCAGCACTACATTGTAAAATTACTCTTGGCAACCAGCACTACATTGTAAAATGACTCTTGGAAACCAGCACTACATTATCTTGACAAATTGGTTTCAGCAATATGTAATTTTATAAAAAAGGGAACAGACGTTTAACTGCAAAGCTTAACATTTACAAACACAACATTGGTTTTCTCCATTATATATTTATATTTTTCAAATAACAGTGAATGCATTAGCCCTTCAAAAACAATATAAAACATTTCCATACATGCTTAGTAAAAACTGTTCCACGCTTTACAATATGTACAACATTTCCACACATGTTTAGTAAAAACTGTTCCACGCTTTACAATATGTAAGCAAATCTTACTTTAACCTGATCACTGAACTACAAATGTTGAGTTAAAGTATGCTAATAGGTATTAAAGTATTCTAATAGGTGGTCTTTCTCTAACTAACTAAATGAAGCCAAACTGGGCTCAGAAAGGCATCTCTAATATCTGGATAATAAAACAAATGACTGAACACATCAGATAAACTTAATTCTAATAGTCTAGGAACAAGTCTAGGTTGAGATTTCTAATATTCAAGGTACTATTATCAAAAAATAAAATCATCCAAAGAATCCAACAAATAACCTGATTAACACTAAGAAGTTTGAAAAACCTGAATCATATCACCTCAATTGCAAATATTTTAGCTTTTCTGAGTAGAATTATGGAAAAAAAAATTAATATTGATCATCTACCATTATCATGACACAAGCTAAATTTTCAAAATTACAAGAGGCCTACACATAAATGTTTATATTTACTGTATTAGAACTAATAGTTTATTTTTACTAATGCTTTCTCAAAAAAGTATTAATTTCATTTTTGCCTAATTTTCCATCATTTCTTGAACTATCTTCCTTTTTATTAATTTCAGCTTATTTGACAAATGTACTGAATATCTGAACAACAACAAAAAAAAAGAACTGATTGAAAGCAGAAGACTATAAGTATGTTCATACAACTCTTTTTTTTAGATTTCAGGTTTCATAAAACTTCATTACAAAAAAATACAACTGTAACTTGGCACGTAGCCAAAACTACCTTTATACACTGTACACACCTGTATTTGAAGAATAAATATATAATGTCACAGCTTGTTTGTGAAAATCAAAAACATTTTTATACAGTGACTGGTTATGTTAAAAATGTGAAAGAACATTATTCTGCATCATAATAACTTAACCATCTGTCATATTTATTGAAAATAAGCTAATAATAAACAGTTACGAGTAAGTTTCCAGAGGAAATTCATACATGATGTAGATGTATTCTATAAATGTTAAAAAAATTACTTCATAACAAATTTTGTGCAATTTGTTTTTATCAAAATAACTGTATTGTTCTGGTACTACCATCAACAGTCAGTAATATAATGATTCACATAATCTTGCTTTTTTTACTGAAGTAAAAACCAAAATAAACATCTGATAGCACTTCTACTATGATAAATATACAAATTTCCTGTTGTTTGAGCGTAAAAACACCTTACTGATAATAAGAATTAAAAAAACATTTAGAAAGAGAAAGGAGACATACAGTCATCCATGCTTTCAAATTCACTCCGTACGCCATCAAAACGAGGAAAAAGGTAAAACATTTGCATTTTCAACATTTGAAAAGGTTTAACACCACACACTACCTCATGACATACTTACCACAAAGGACCATTTGGTCCTTTGAAACTGTCCCTCCAAACCAACTGTTATGAAAAAGTAAAAACTTAAACCCAATCTTTACTTTTCACCAGCTTTGTACAAGGCTACAATAACCATGTTGTGATATCACTCTAAAACTAGCAGAGTCCCACAAAATATTTGCAGTCAAATTAATATCTTTATTGCAACAGTACTTTTTGAAATATAGGATTTCTAAAATAATACAAAACAATTCTAATCACAGACACTGAAATCTATACGTCTACTTGTCTTAGGCCTAACATTAGTTAATCCTTTATTAAGTACAGCCTATATTTGATAAAAAGATAAATTAACACTAGCTTTTGTATGTCTTTTGCTTTAGTTTAGTTAGGAACAATACTTAATACTATCAATAAATAAACTTACAATGTTATTCTACAACCTAACATTAGACCTTTTTAAAAAGTTTAATAAGTTTTTAATACATTGTACAAAACATATACTAGAATACATTACACCTGCCTTTTTCATTGAAATGAAGTGCATAAACAAGCACATTAAAATAGCAGTGTGTGCACACATTTTCAGGGCAGACCAAAACTGACCATTATTATAACAGATATTATGCCATATAGAGGTTTGTAACCCATGAAGAGGTTTTCTTGGCCACTAGATATTGGGGAAAGACAAAAGCAAACAGGAAATGCTGCAAAGTAAAACTAGAAAGTGCAAGTACAGCTCCCAACTAAACATCACAAGATACTTGTGACTGGTATGAGAGATGACCCAAATGAATAGCAAAAGAATAGTCCAGTATAAGATGACCAAGAAGAGACAAACTTGGTAGCCACTGGAGAACATTTATTTTTTTGTGGAGCTATACATCAGTAATATCATTTGAACATTATATTCAATTAGATATTATCATTTCAAGGTATCTGTTTTTAGCTTCAAGATATACAGGAAGCTTGCTGCAATACAAGGACTAAGAACTAATGACTCTACTGCTGCATGTAAACTATAGGATGTAAAAGGCTTTGTTTTGGCCAATCAAGGAGTAACTCAATAAGAACTAATGACTACTTCTGCATGTAAAGTACAGGATGTAAAAGGCTTTGTTCTGGCAAATCAAGGAGTAACTCAATAAGAACTAATGACTCTACTTCTGTATGTAAACTATAGGATGTAATAGGCTTTATTTTGGCAAATCAAGGAGTAACTCAAAATCTCCCTGAAAAATAACAACCGAAAATAATGAATAAATCCATTCCTAACTCCCCAGATATTCATTCATCGACCCTTTTCTTTCATTTGCAGCCTTGTGGTACTGTAGATGGCAGTTTGTTCCACACATAATAACACAAGTGTTTATTTCATATAAGAAGTAGTTTAAAAACATTTGTACCTTGTTCCAATGACATAAACCTAAAAGTGTCATTTTATTTAAATAAGTTGCATACATATAGCATCAGTTAATGATTGAAATTTGAATAGGTTTATTTCAATTTGAAATTATATAATAAGATTCAGTGTGCGTATGTGTGTGTCATATAACCCCTCCAAAACTGCTGGTCACATCAGTTTCTAAGTGGTGCTAAATAACTCGTCTTAGCACCCAAGGTTTGCATAAACATAAATATTTTCACTCACCCTCTTAGGGTATTTTGCAAAAACATTTTTACGGAGATTCCCCAAAAGCAGACCCCAAATTTCGCATTGATTTACATTACAGCATGTAAGTAACTAGGCCTACTAAACTTTAATTTGGTTAAAGAAATTAAATTTGCATTATAGCAGCAATAATCATTAAACAGAAATAATGTAAAATAATAGTTCAAGATTGTCTGTGTATGTGTGTCATGTAACTCCTCCTAAACTGCTAGTTGCACCAATTTCTAAGTTATACCAAACGAATTGTCTCAGTCCCGAGGTTTGTACAAATGTAAAACTTTTCACCCAACCCCTTATGGAACTCACGTATTTCTTGAAAATACTTTCACAGGGATTCCCTGAAAGCAGACCCCAAATTTAGCATTGATTTACATTAGAGCACATTAATAAGTAGGCTTAATAATTACAGTTCATAACTTTGTTAACAAAATTAAACTTGCATTATTGCAGCAATGATCATTAAATGGAAAAAGTGCAAAAGTCATTACAGTGGCCCTGTAAATGTGGGTTATAGGCATACGCATTCATAATTATCAATAATAAAAAAATAATTTGGAGAATTCACACACCTAGTAGCTGCAAGTAAGTTACCTGGAAGTAATATTTCTGTAGTGATAAAAATAATTTATCAGTATAATAAGTTCTCTAAAAAAAGAGATTCATAAAAATTTAGAATTACAAAAAACAACAACATGCAATTCATATCAATTATATTAAGTTCTTGAAAACAGTGATTCACATTACAGTTATTGGGTATTACAATAAAGATATCATGCATTAATAAAACAATTACTGCCACTTTCTTAAGTTGAACAAATATTTAGCGACTGACTAATGATGTAGCCCTTAGCACAAATAATGGGCAAGGTAGGCCTAAGTATTGTCTTTGCAAAACTCATTTCATTAAAAAAAATTAGTGAAATCCTTTTTTAGGTTGTGAGAGCCATTGTTGTGTTAGTCATTAAGTGAAAGCAAGTAAAAGCTGGATGAGCATATTACTGCCTAAACAGGACATTTAAATAGCACTAAATGTTATATCTCATTCAATTACTATAACTCTTTCCAAATATAATTAGTGAAAGTTATTTTCTAATCTATTGTAGTTTTTTTTCCCATAATTAATACTTGAAACTGTTAGTACTTGGTGAAACTCCATAAACTACAAAATTGAGAAAAGCAAAGACAATTGTATATTTCACAAATATTTCATTTATAACAATCATGGTTTCACCACTAAAAACCTTTACTGGTGAAACCATTGTCATAACAAATAAAATATTTGTGAAACCTTCTACTAGTCATTTGTCTGCAAGATCAAAATACAATAACAAAGTAAACCCCAACAAATGGGGATACATTTTCCTTGGACACAAATATTCAAATCAAAAGTAATTCTTACCATCCCACCATCTATTATAATAATACTCAGTTGTTTTTGTATCCTGAAAATACATGCACACCGTACTATCTAAATGCCTATACGTGTGCACTTCATATCAATGGATGTAAATGAAAGGTGATTGTAAATACACTTTAGTAGACATTTTGAAGTATCCTCGCAAACCTCCAGGATTTCATGAACCCCAGTTTGAAAAATGGTGGTCTATAACGTTCTTTATTGTTCTCCATATTACATCATTAAACAGTTACTCCTTGATTGGCCAAAACAAAGCCTTTTACATCCTATAGTTTACATGCAGAAGTAGTCATTAGTTCGTATTGAGTTACTCCTTGATTGGCTAAAACAAAGCCTTTTACATCCTATAGTTTACATGTAGATGTAGAGTCATTAGTTCTTATTGAGTTACTCCTTGATTGGCCAAAACAAACCCTTTTACATCCTATAGTTATTCTTGAACTATGAATTCAAACTCAATCTTACATTTTTTAGCAACATGCTGCTTGCACTTTTGAGTTGCTGATGTGTTTATTTTAATTCTTACATACAGCATTAAGTACCTGTTCATTGAACTACATTGTGTTCTCTACATAAATAGATTCTAAAGACAATGCATTAATGCCAACTAAAGGATCCATTTCATTGAGTACACTCATAATATACAATGGTTGTCATATATTTGCCTTTTAATGATCCAAATATCCTTGGTAATGGCATCCATATTTTTTTGTGTGTGTAATGTATTTCGAAATTTGTATGCCCATACAATATTTGCTGACCCAGAGATTTTTGTTTTTATGTTGTAGAAAAACTAAAATAGATCTAGAAATATTTCTTTTTAATTAACGTAGAGGAAAACTGAAAAAAGCCAAATGCCTTATGAAGTGTGTCACTCAATGTTAATCAATTGCCCCATCCAGTAAAATGTATGTTGGTCTGAAGTTTCTTTTGTTTGCATATAATTAGTTATGATAATTATAAGGAAGAATTAGAGTAATTGGATGACATTGGTAATTCAGTGTTAACTATAAGAAAAACTACAGCAGATTTGATACAATTATTTGATTATTGTAGGTAATAAACGGAGTAAGTGAATGACAGGAAAAATCCAAAACTGATTTTGAAACAATTTTTTCTCATTGTTGTAGGGGAGAGTTGGAGTAATTGAACAAAATACAACAGGTAGTACTTATACTATTTAAGTGCCCCATCTGGGTAAAAATATGCTGGTCTGGAGAATTTTTTGATACTACAGAAAAACTATAATAGTATCAGGGCTGGCCTTATGACAAAGATAGCAAGGACCCCTGCACAACCTTTTATTTATTTATTTATTATTATTATTATTATTATTATTATTATATGAGTGATTACTGAAGATGAAGATGCAGAGCTCAAAAACCACATGGTTGACCCATAAATGAATACACCAATCATCCTGTTGTACAATTTCCATCAATTCTATAGCATTATCAATTAATGCTAACAGTGGGGCTAACACACATCTTACCCACAGTGATTAAGGATAGCTCTGCTGATCATTATAGGGGAGAATGGACTACCCGAATGACATCCGACAGGTCCGGGTAATTATATACTCAGCTTCGCTATTAGCCATTTGCTTATTAACATAGGACCAAAAATAGTGTTAACAGCAAGGGTATCCAACTGAAGAAACAATGCATTCCAATCTATTTGTAAGATTGTATGAAAAGTATATGTAATTCAAAAAACTTCTAACCAGGTTGGTTTTTAGCTACATCCTAACTTCTAAGTAGGTAGCTTGCTCTGATCAGAAGTTAATATTAACTTATTAGTATTAACAAACACTTTAAGACTAATATATTATTATTATTAATAACTCTTAACTGACTGGAACTGGCAGCCTTCAGCTAAATTAGCCAGAATTAAAATTAAGTTATTTCATTTTATCATTTATAAATTTTATTATGTCTGCCACTACCTTGTATGTTAGTTTTAACTGTTCAGATGAAAAATATCTTGGTGGGTCAAAAATTGCATATTCAGCATCTTCAGCCATGATTCCGTGGAAGTTATTTTCTCTGCAGAAAGCAATAACTTCTTGGTGATGATCGTCTATAGTACACACAACTGTGACATTAAGATGTCGTAAGGCCATTCTCAGGCATGTGCGTAAGCAAACAGGTGGAATCCACCAAACTTTCGGCGGTGGAGTTGCCTTAAGAGCCACGTGTCTGAGTACTTGATTAACCTTCTTTCTATCCGACTGCTGTTTCTTCACCCACTCCTTCATACGATGCTGCTCGAGTCCGCCATTGAAGAAAACTGCCAGTTCGATATTGTTGCTTTGAATAGTCTTGATAAGAACTGATATGAACTGGACCATTCGATTCCATTGTCCACCACAAACCCAGTCAGAAAAAAATCCTCCATAAAGTCTGTCTAAGCAACATTCACCATCAACTACTAAGCACAGTCGGTTGCATAATAACTGATTTCGGAAATGGCCCCTCACACCACCGACACAGCGAACACCAACACTGCGTGCGATCTTCAACAGATCAACCGGTACGCAGGCACCAGGACAATGAGTTTCAATAAACTGTTGTAACGACTGGATTCCCATGCCTCAACTTTCAGCAAAATCAACTACAAATTATTAATGTTTATCGTGAGAGGTGAAGAAATTATCACAAACAATTCTACATGAGGAAATATAGGGAAATAAGTCTACAACCTTCACCTCACATGTGCTTTCTCACTTAATACAATGAAATACGCATGCTCATAGCGATACTCCCACTACAAAAAGTAAAGTTTTCACAGCCCTCTGATAACTCACAGTCAACGCCATCTAACGATACGAAAGGTAATAATTAAATAAACATAGACAGAAATTTGTTTATATTTAAATATTAGCATTACACATCAGTACCGATATCATACGAAAGCTGTATATTATAACAAATACACAAAATCAGTCGATTGTATGCAAATTTACAGCTGTATATGTAACGTGAGCGCATTATGCTTATTATTTGGAATTTACATTATCAAACATTACCCCCTTTTATCTTTCGTCATACTTGGATAATATGTAAGGCTAATGACTGACTTATTAATGAATTCCATTAGTCAGATACGTTCAGCCAAAATTTTCTTAATTTTGGTGCAGGTGTTCTGCATGTAGTTTAGTATTCTTGTTAAACGGATGCACAATTTGTATAAATAAAATTTAGATTTAATTATTCACTTGTGGGGGTCTTTTTTTTTTTTTGCTGTCCACTTTCGATTTATTATCTGCATATCATTCCTTGAATCTGCGTTTTGCAAATACTTTTGGACTTATTTGTCAGTTATCAGTGGACGTAATGCCACATTTGTACCATGACCAAAGGATTTGTTATTTTGCACTTTATTTTGAACGTACTTCTTTTTCCGTTTGACATTCTGGTTCTTGTGTAGTACGCAGCCACACAATATGCATTCTATCTTCTTTTATTAACTTAGCGTCTCTCAGAATTCTCCATTTAATCAGATCCTAATGTTTGAGCCACTTTATTTCTAGTTATTTCTGTTTCCTTGTTGTTCTTTAGCACAGTGCTTCTCAACTGGGTGAATGAGTATTG